TTCTCTCGTACGCCCCACGAGCTTAGTTATGCTGCCCTCGACCCGGCACCGCAGCCCACTTGGAAGCGCCAAAGAGGAGGGCAACTGAAGCCTTGGATCGACACCGTCCGCCAAGAAATGTAAGCAGTTCTTGGATCTCCTATCTTCGGTCTCCGTTGCTGGAGAAGAGACCGGGTGGAGCTCTCCAGATCCGCTGCCGCCAATCGTCACGCATTGAAAGGTACCGTCCGTGACATCGCTGAGGCCGGCTAGATCAGGCATGATCACAGCCGTACCTAGTACAAAGTACATGGATCCGCTGTCTTGTTGGTTGTCATTGAGAATATTTACTGTGATGGAAAAACGTTCACTGATAAAGTTGTGCATTGGGCCCCAACTTGCATACCTCAGAGCGAGTTGTAGATATGGAACTCTGGGATGAACCCTTAATCAATCGATGGCTGCTTAAAATAACCCTGTAAGTTATGAACAATTTGCAATTGAATAAAAACAGGAGATAAGGGACAAAAATTGTTGTATGAACTGCAGAAATTCGGAAAGCTCGAATGTTCGTATCAAAGGGGCAATTTTTTATGTAAATGCACGAAGCCTTTCTACTCAGGAGAAATAGTAAGAAGAACATAAATGATTAATTAACGTTAGCCATGGTTACTCTGCTGCTAAAAAAAGTAAGTCTACTATGCATAATGGCACTTGGTCAACTCTAGTGAATGATTATGCGTTTAGAAATTATTTCTAGCGAATTAGATGTAATTTTCCCTTTTTTTAATTGTTCGATGTGTAGTTGCCTATCGGGAGGACAATTGACATTGGGGCCTAGGTACGCACAGATAATTTACGTGACTAACTTGTCCCGTTCAGTATTGAGGATCACTCGAGCCCCGCTAGCAGCCAAGCTAGTAATACAGACAGATGAACATTACGATCAGAGAGATTCGAATGACCGTTTATGACTTACTAGTAGTCATCAGCCAGCCATACCCAAGCCCAGGCTTTGTAACTCCCGAGGCTCCAACTCGGAAGATGTTGAAGTCGAACGCTCTGACCACTGTTCAACGGGCTCACGGTCTTGCTGGTTTAGTTCACATCCGATTTAGCTTGGTTTCACAGATAGGGATGCCACACTCGCCTTCTTGTTACCTACGCTTCTGCCTAGGCTTGAGTGTTTTGGGTAGTAGGGGGGGGGTAATACCAAAAAGTAAGCTTCCTCATGGTGTCGTTTGTGCAACCATTTTATACGGATATTACATCTTACGTCCCTCT